CTCAAAGTACTAACCCAGGTTATGAGTAAGCCTTGCCTACAGTTGACACTCATTATCATCCTAGCCCAAAGGGCCCAAAGTAGCTACTTACCATTATGATTTGGGACGTACCCCCCCCTAAACCTTTGGGTACTTAAGTATTACAGCCGTTTTGTCATGTTCGAGGATAGGGCCTGAGGATTTGAAGGTGCGAAGTTGATGACTTCTGGGTCGCGCGTGTGTAGGGCTTCGTGACTTTGGGAATACGGCTTCATTCTGCATGTCGGGTCTTCGGACTCCAATACCCACTGATAAGTTTTCTGCAGTTCATAGCCGTCATCTCAGACGTCAGATAGCAGCTCTAGTAGGGTTCGAGTAAGTTGCGGATTGAAGCAAAAGAGGTCGCAGGACCTAGCCCTATCTCCGAGATAGTCTTGAGCCCCGTTTCGGTCTGGGGTGTAGCACATTGCGAACAGATTCCGGCCGCCAAACTTTTGGGCTTGGGGTTGATGAGATTTGCAGGGCTTAGGTTCTAGCATTATACATTTTACACATTAAAGCCGATCCTATATGCTAAGCAGCAGGTTCCTGAAGACCCTTGAGAGACTCCTCAATGATTTCGGATAGCATAGTAGCCCCTGTAGCCCTACAGTAATCACTAATCGTTTTAATACCCGTGTATAGTATACCCTTACAAAGAACCACGCTTTGTAGCGACCCGTGTCCCGTCAAAGCCCTCACACATGCTCCGACCGCGAAAGTCGCAGACCCGAAAGCTTAGGGAGCCCCTCATAATCACCGCCATAAAGTACCCTTTATAATACCCCCTAAGCAGAAAAGCCTAGACCCCCAAACCCCAAGCCCTAAACCCCTAAACCCGAAAACCCTAGGCCCGTAGCCTCAGTCCTTAATTAAAACCTAAACCCTAAAACCTTAAATCCCAAAACCCTAAATCCCTAAGCCCTTAGCCTCAATCCCTACAACCTAACCCCCAAAACCCTACACCCTAAACCGTCGGTTTTCAAATCCCGTTTCTGGGGGTGCCCGGCACTCGTTCGAGGGCGCTGCGCCGTGTGCACATCCTCTTCGGGAAGGTCACACTCCTCACCTTGCGGTTCCGGGGTTCAGGGTCAAGAGCTTTAAGGGTTTAGGGTTCAGGGTTTAGCGGTTCCGGGGTTCAGGGTCTCAAGTTGTAAGGTTTGCCTACCCGAAACCCTAAACCGTAAACCCTAAACCCTAACCCCCTACACCCTAAACCCCTACACCCTAAACCCTGAAACGCAAACCCTAAACTCTAAACCCCTAAACCCTAAACCGTAAACTTTAAACCCCTAAACCCTAACCCTAAACCCTAAACCCCTAAACCCGAAACCCTAAACCCCACAAACCCTAACCGCGGTCGACTCTGAACTTAGAATCTCCCACCCGAAACCCCTAAAGGGTCTGATGGACGCAGGGTTCGGTGGGGTGAAAGGGAAGCTTAGGTAAACAAAAAATCATAGGCCTCATTTGGGGGTGAACGAGGTGTCTTGTGGTGGTATTCCGGCCCAGAAAGGGTTCGGAGTTTAGGATTTAGGGTTCAAGTTTTAGGGGTCAAGCGCAAGTTTAGGGTTTAGGTTTTATATGTCTCAGGGGCTCTGGGCTCGGGAACACTGCGCTTTGTACGAAGGTAGGACAGAAGGGACGGTTTAGGATTTAGGGTTTAGGGGTTTAGGGTTTAGGGTTTAGGGTTTTAGGGTTTAGGGTTTAGGGTTTAGGGTTTTGGGGTTTAGGGGTTAGGGGTTTAGGGGTTAGGGTTTTGGGGTTTAGGGTTTAGGGTGCGATCTTCAGGCAAACAAAGTTGTGCTCGGCCAGGACGATGTTCTTGTCGCGCAGAACCTCATCCTTCTTCGCTGCCGGCATCGACAGCGGCGGTGCAGACTCCACCTTGGAAGGCAAGCATTGCGAACTGCGAGTGCTCGTTTGCCAACAGTATCGGCGGATGGCGTCAGCAGCGCCAAGTTGAGCTCTTTCTGCTGATCCTTGCTGAGCACTCCGAAAAGAAGCACGGAAGCCATGGAGTCCGGAAAGCAGCACCGAGGGAAGTGTGAGGCGATTTCGCGACGACTACAGGGCCGATATGGGAGTTTCCGAAAATTAGGGGTACCTTATTTGGTTCCCTTATAGTAAGGATCCTACTATTTAGGGTACTATCTTAGGGTCCCCTCTTGTCGGAAACTCTCATAAGCGAAGCGATGAAATTTATTGGCGACGGTTGCGATCTCTTCTTATTAGCAGCGGGAGCTTGTTCAGCTCCTGGCGTGGTAGTGGAGACACACAAATCTGACTCAAAACTCCAAAAACTAATCAACACCTTATGCATTTTCCAAAAATTCCGGAAAACATCTGAAGTTCCAGAACCTCAAATCACCAACACTTTCCAACCATTTCATTTAGTTCTGAGCTTTCGGAATCTGAAAACCTACCGAAACCCTCGGCCTAAACCGTGAACCTGCAATTCTTTCTCTACCGACACACTACAAGTACTTATGAAACAAGGCCCGACTACATGGAACAGAGATGAACAGAGTGCTAGGCTATCAACATAGATAGAACTGTGGAGCAATGACGCCACAAGTCCTGGAGGTCCCCTCTTGAGTCCTGTTTGGCTCCCGCTTGGCCTGTTAGTGGCTCACCAGGCAGCTGTAGAGGTTCCCCCTGAGCGGACGCGATCGTCCTGACAGCAGTCAAATATATGCTTCGGTGGTATATAGTATGCAGCAGTTCTGCTTTTGTCATGTCGCTTTGCATGCACGCCAACGCTTGGAGGCCCTGGTAAGTTTCCTGCATGCTCTGTGTGCTATGTATGCTGTGACCTGCCTTCTCACATTCTAAGCTCGGAAACCTCGCAGAGTCTACTGTCTGGAGCTCCTTTGCCTCATCTTGCGCTGCGCTGCGCTAGATTTCGCAAACCTTTCAATGTCCAAACAAACCATGCCTTGTAGGTCTGAAAGACTACCCCGATATCCGATTACAAGCAAAAGTGTGCAGAGATACACTGCAACAAAATGAACATGTAAGTTGGATTGTATCATGCACATTGCCTACATGCAGAGATGCAGGCGGCTGTGGAATTGTGAGCGCATGAACGAAAACTTATGCATTCGGTTCTGCCAAAACCAGTATACGTCGATATACACACACACGCATACGTTCATGCAAGCAGACCCATACATTATAATAGCTACGCACACTCCGCGTGCGTGCACATGCTCCTAGACCACCTATGCATACATACATGGATGCATCTTCACCGAGAGACAAACATTCAGGGCACACGTATACGTGTTTTGAATCGGTGCCGATTCTTCGCAGAACTATTTTAAAGGGTCTCGCAGGAACATGACCCCCCAAAAAAAACAGGATCCTTATTGTAAAAAACCGACAAAACATGACAGCAACCCCAGACCCGAAACCACACACTTGAACAACCCCCCCCCCAACAACCCATATCCCCAAAACTCCTCATGGATATACCTTAGATCATGTATAGAGGGATCCTTTCTGTGATTCAAGAATGCCCTGTGAAATTTCGTAACTGGTTAAGGGTAGTGGACTCCCGTTAAGCGCTCTATTGCAAGGGCTTTTGGGTACATTGTAAGTTCGTATGATATTGGTCATGATACTCAGAGTAGGGTTTGAGGGATTGCACCATAGTATTTTGCTGAGGGAACTTCAAGGGAACCTAAGACAAATTGTTCAGGCCCCTAAACTACGTTTAAGACTCGGAGTTTAGGGGTGCCGTGCAGGGTTTGGGGGTCATGGGGTTCAGGCTTGAATTAAAACTTATGGGTCTAGGGCTCAGGGTTTGTGGTTAGTAGTTTGAGGGCACCATAGAGAGGTATCTCGTTAGGAACGGGAAGGAAGGCGAAAGTACGACACCCACTAAACCAAGGTGTTGCGGTACTCGAACGCCCGGAAGGACAATCCTCCTCAAGAGTAACGCAAACACTCGCCAAAGCCGCAATACTATCCGACCTGCCTCGAGAATAACTATTTCGAACCCACCCTAAAGCCTAAACGTTAATCCCTACATCTCTCTGTGAAACCTATTGAAGGTGGAAAACACAAATCAGCATTTAGGGGGTTAAGGTTAAGGGTTTAGGGCTTCGGGTTTTGGTCTGTTGCAACTCTGCACATCCACTTCTTGCAAGCCTGCTGCTATCGGCATAGCGATGAAGATGTTTACTTACTTAAGCTATGGATAATACAGTGCTTAAGCTTGCTGCCTGAGAACCTTGCACCTTAGAGCTGAGACCACAAGCCAGGAAGCCCCAATTGAAAGTCTTCAACCGCAATTCCGCGGACCGGCCTCCACTCCCAATGGTTCTCAAAGACTCCAAAACCCTATGAATATGTGATTTGAATTAGTAGGGGGATTCTGCATGTGATTTCAAGTTTGGAGTGTCTGGGTTCCCTTGGCTTGAATTTTAGGGGGGTGGGCCGCTGTTTGGTGAAATCCTCCTGCAGGAAAACCACGCTACCAAAGATTTTCTGCTGCTGTGTGCTGCAAAGACACTCTGTTGAAGACCGCGAAGCACTTCGCAATAGCAGCTGCATAATTCAGTAGTTTCTAACCTTCCACTTCTTCTTCCTCTTCCTCCTCCTCGTCCGTCTCCTCCTCCTCCTCCTCCTCCTCCTCTTCCTGTTCCTCCTCTTCTGGCAGCCCCCACGTGACGACAAATCCATCGGCAAGGATGGCAGCAAATGCGGATACGCCAAACTCATGGGGGCGGGAGGCTTGAATCTGCTGCACATTCTTCAGTTGAGCCTGCACAGCGCTGCTGTCACCACCGTGACCAGCACCACCCCAGGTGACGACAGATCCATTGCCGAGAATGGCAGCAAAAGCGTTGTGAGAAGACTGGATCTGCTGCACATTCTTCAGTTGATGCTGCACAGCAATGCTGTCAGCACCACTGTGGGCATCACCCCACGTCACGACACAGCCATCGTCGATAATGGCAGCAAATGCACTGGCAGTGGCTTGGATCTGCTGCACATTCTTCAGCTGACCCTGCACAGCACTACTGTCACCACCAAAAGCAGCATGTCCCCAGGTCACAACAGATCCATCGGCAAGAATGGCAGCAAATGCGCCGAAGCAAGTGGCTTGGATCTGCTGCACATTCTGTAGTTGATCCTGCACAGGACTACTGTCACCACCGTGGCGAGCATTGCCCCAGGTGACAACCGATCCGTCGGCAAGAATTGCAGCAAAAGCACGCTGAGTGGCTTGGATCTGCTGAACGTGCTTTAGCTGATCCTGAACAGTGCGACTGTCACCACCATCCGTGGCATGACCCCAGGTCACGACAGATCCATCGCCAAGAATGGCGGCAAAGGCACCCCAAGAGGCTTGGATTTGCCGCACATGCTTTAGCCGATCTTGCACAGTGCTGCTGTCACCACCACGAGCAGCAATACCCCAGGTGACGACGGATCCGTCGCCAAGAATAGCAGCAAAAGCTTGGTCATTGGCTTGGATCTGCCGCACGTTCATCAGCTGATCTTGCACAGCACTGCTGTCACCACCAAAGTCAGCCCATCCCCAGGTCACAACAGATCCATCGGCAAGAATGGCAGCAAATGCCCCACCAGTGCAACTTCGGGAAGCTTGGATCTGCTGCACGTGCTTTAGCTGATCCTGCACAGTGCTAGTGTCGCCACCAAAAGCAGCATGTCCCCAGGTCACAACAGATCCATCGCCAAGAATGGCAGCAAAAGCAACAGCAGAGGCGTGGATCTGCTGCACGTTCTTCAGCTGATCCTGCACAGCATTCCTGTCACCACCAAAGGCACGATCACCCCAGGTCATCAACGATCCATCGCCAAGAATGGCAGCAAAAGCGTCGTGAGTGGCTTGCACTTGCACCCTGCTTATATGCAAAATGAGTGACTCACCATCCTGAAGCCGGGCACGCTTGATCGTTGCTAGTACGTCCAGGATGCCTCCAGATGAGTTCACCAGCTGCCCTTTCCCCACTTCGAGCGCCGTCTCCGCACGTCGTTTCAGTGTTCCCAATTTTTCCTCCAAGTCGGCTTTTACGGTAGCTGTCCTGCCACTGAGCAATCCAACTTGGACTGTAAGCGCCATATTGCGCGGCGGAGAGGCGAACACGTCCGGGTGGCCCAAATTTTCACCCCTAAACCCTAAACCCTGAATTCTAAGCCCTAAACCCTGAACCCTAAGCCCGAAACCCTAAGCCCTAAACCCTGAGCCCTAAACCCTAAACCCTGAACCCTAAACCCTAAACCCTACGCCCCAAACCCTGAACCCCGGTCTGAGGTTTGTGTTCCGCATTTAGCTCCTCCTGCTCCATGCAGGGGCCACTAAAGGATTGGAGGCTCTAAGGGGAACTCCAGAAAGTTGGAATAGGGATTAATGTTAGGATCCCCTATAATTTACCTTAAAGGGGTTACGATAATGATATTCCAACTTTCTGGCTTTTACTTTATGTTCAAAGGGAAAGGAGTCGCCCGAAATGCCTTAAACCCTGAACCCTAGGCCTAGAATGATCGTCTTTCCTTGTCTCAGCCGAGGGTTTGGTGAAACAAGATTCGATACATATCATAACATCCTAATGTCAAGCCTTAAACTAGTCTTCCCATGGTTTTGAAAACAGCTTTCTGCACCGCACGCCTGCGTTGGAACGGACATCCGAACATAAACCCTAAAATAGGGCCCCAACACAACACATAAGCAAACATAACGATAGAATATCCCACATAACCCCCCCCCCCACAGTGAAGCCCTATGAGGTAGGGATATCCTAAAAAATGCTTCTGCTTCTGCCCTTTTCGGTCCCTTACAAAAATCCTTGAAGACTGAGAACTCAAAACCCCAGAGCAAAAAACTCCCTTACAGGACCTAAGAGTGACCTAGGAATAAAAAGGGTGACCTTTTTGGTTTGAAGGGTGTTATAAAAGAACCTAAACCCTCAAAAAGGGAATAAGGGCCTAGTCTGGGTCCTAGCTTAGCTCCATTCACATGACATGAGGGTTTAGGGTCTAGGGTTTAGGACCCAAAGCCCGAAACTCCAGAAGCCCTGCAAACCCTCAAAGGAATCCCCGCTGAAGGAACCCATAGCTCCCAAACTAAACCCTGCACAAAGTACCTGCAACACAAATTGAAAACACAACGTTAAATCCCTCTCAAACCCTAATGTAGGGGCCTTGAATAGGGTTTTGGGGGTTCCTTACTGTGATAGTAGTATAAGAAACCACCAAGCCCTATTCTAATTATTAAGGCGCCCATGCCAAATCCACAGGCTGATCCCGAATATAGGGGCCTCATTACTTGCTAACACCCTTTTGGGGGCTCCTTATTCTAAGTACAGTTTAATATACCCCAAACCCTATTCTAATTATTAAGGCCCCTGCATTAAACCCATAGCCTGATCCCTCTGGTACCCGCAAAAACTTGAAAAAACAAACTACATTAAATTTTGAACCCTAAACCCTAAACCCCTATAAAAGCCCCCAAAAATCCACAGCCTGATCCCTCTGGTGGCCTTCGGTTTGGGATCGGCCCCTGGCCGCCGTGACCCGCGCTTTGCTCGGAGTTCCGGGTAGCTCGGCCTGGGCTGGGATCATAGGGATCCTTAGGGGTGTAGGGGGGAGGGGTGTAGGGGACTATATTTCCTTAAATAGGCCTTATTAGTCCTTATTATGGGCCTTAAGGCCCCCTACCCCCCCTCCCCCTACACCCCTAAGGATCCCTATGATGGGAGGTATTTTACCCTAAAGGTCCATTTACCTTCATGTACCTTTAAAGGGTTCTATAAGGGTTCTATAGGGTTCCTTTAAAGGGTTCCCCAAAGGATTCTATAAGGGTGCTATAGGGTTTAGGGTATAAGGGTCCATGATGCCCATATAGTATATACCTAGGCCTTACAGTGCCTAAATGGAGACCCCTGCAAGGCTTAAGTACCTACTACAAAGGTACATGGAGCCTTTGGGTTAAGGGTTTCGGGGTTTAGGGCTCCTCGTAAGGGTACGATAAGGTCGAACCTCCAAGTAGGGGCTACCGGTTTAGGGTCAGAGGTTTAGAAATAACGAAGGGGTCTAGGGTTTTGGAGTACTCAAGAGGCTTAGCGTATGGGATTTAGGGTTTAGGGTTTGGGTGGGGTGGGCTCGGGTTACCGGTTTAGGGCTGAGCATGGGGGCTAGGCACCTGAACGGTTGGTCTACCGGCTGAGTGCAGAGGTAAAGGAATTCGGGTTCTATTCGGGTTCATTCTACAACCGCATGCTTGCCAGCCGAATGCGCGCAGCTACTGAAACCAGAGACTCCAATATGCCTTCATTAAGGAATATTCCTTAGGTTATAGTAGGATCCCCCATATGATTTAAGGTCTACTCCGTAGTTAAGGGATATTGGAGATTGGAGTCTCTAGGAAGATTTTTCGCCCATGGGGTCTCTTGGAGTTTGAGCCTGAGCCCTCAGCGCCCTGAACTCCTGCAGAAGCCGCAAAGAACTTCAGAGTATCAAGGGATGGGATGAACATACCCCAAAGTTTTGCTTACCAATACTACCTAAAGAATCTTCATACACATGCCGAGGAGCACGATCCTTATTGGAGGCAACCCCGACACACCCCTAAACCCTAGACCCCTAAACCTGTCCACCCATTGCATGGAATACATGTGGGATGCTTGTTGTCTCCCAAGAAACTGCAAGGAAGGCCGAAAGCGGCACATTAGATATTTTATATATGCATACCTATATCTGTCTGTAGCTATCTATATCAATATCTATATCTAAATCTTCATCTGTATTTATATCTATATATATATATATCTATCTTTATTTAATACCAGCTAAGATCGGGAGTCGCAAGTGTATGCCGAGAGAGACTGTGATCGCTTCAAAGAGCTGACATCCGCCTTCAAAGAGCTGACATCCTCGAAGACAAGACTTCAGTGAGATACTGTTGATGATATAAATCCTGCATTACCCATAATAAGGAATATACCATTATTCCCATAGTTTAGGGCCCTTAAGGTAATGCAGGATTTGTATCATCAACCGTACCGTACAACTGCACGGCCATCTCAATACGTTACTTGTAGCTGAGTAACCGGATTCTTCAGGCTTTTCTTGCATGTGCAGGTTTGCGGCCGCTATTAGGGTTCAACACTCCAGCCCATGAGCCGGAAGGCCTGAATACCTATATGACAAACGCCACAGCAAGGGCGGCCTCTAAAGTGGTCCGGGTGCCGGTGTTGATCGCGGCGGCCTCCTGCTAAATCCATGCATCCGGGCAAGTCCTATATACCTTCAACCACTCCATTTGATTCAGAGGTTCGAGTTCCCTGGATTCCGGCTCGCCGTAAAACCCTAACCCCCAAACCCTAACCCCATACCCCTAAGCCTAACCCCTAAACCACTATAAGCCCCTACACCCTCAACCCTAAGCCCTAATCCCCTAAACCCCTATAAGCCCATGCACCCTAAAACCTGGAAAACGTTCGTTTCTCCTCTAGACCCAAGAGTAACCTAGGAATAGAAAGGGTGCCCTTTTTGGTTTAAAGGGGCTTATAAGGGAACCTGAACCCTACGAAAAGGGAATAAGGGCCTACTCTAGGTCCTAGTCCTAACCTACGAAAGCCGAAGCCTGAGCCGGTGGGCACAAACACCGTCAGCAAGCAATCATTGAGAAACAAACGAGCCAATTTAATTACATAGTTGGAGTAGACAGACCATGTATGCATATGTATGTATACATACACATACATATATATATATATATGTATGTTTATTCATTTGTTTATGTTGACTTATGTAGTTACGCAAGTAAACATACAAAACATGTCTATGTCTATGTGTCTGTGTATGTGTTTGTGTATGTACTTAGGTACACCGCTAAGTTTTGAAAAGGCTTCTGCTGGAGTCTTCAAGAGGGGCTAGGTTGGCCCTTTAAAGCCTCTGGAAAATAGTCGTAGATAGGGCCCTATTAAGCCCAATAAGGGAAAATATG